GCTTATTTATTTCAAGGCCTCATGAGACTTGAGAGCTCACAGTGAATAGACTAATGATGATTAAAAAATCCAATTACAGTTAATGATTCACATTAAATATATGATATTTTACCCCTGAATGCTTTTAATTAAATCAACAATCATTCTCTTTTGATATGAGAGTAAATATTAATGAAAGGTGTATATAGATGGTACCTCTTAGGCAGGTAACTTAAAGGAATAGTTTCCATTTTGGAAAACAGAGTAATTTGCTTTTTACCAAGAGTTCAACATGTCAGTGCAATAAATATGCAGCAGGAGCCCGGAGACTGTGAGCTTTCCTTTGAATAAAGACTGGTAACAGGGAAACAGCTAGCTTTGTTCTGAAATGCAAAGGAAGAACTGTAGTTTCGAGTGAGCTCTGAGTTCAGTCAGAGGCTGCAGTGTTTGTATACAGCTTAGAGCTTATAGCTAACATCTGTACCACACAGGCGGTTTGGGTTGTCAAACTCAGTCTCCGAAAGGGTCATCTTGAAATATAAAAAGGAGTTTGCGGGCCAGATAAGCAGGGGTATAGCCACAACTTTCCTACAGGGGAGACCAAGTTAGACACAGTGATTCTATTGGGGTGGAAAAAATAACTACTTCAAATGTACAGAAGACTTAGTTTTATGAAGTAGTGTGGGATCATGGAGGTTGCTGTCTTTATTGTTAAACAACCATTATTGCTGATGAAAATCTATCTGGCGTGACACACTTTAGTGACGTTCACTGACTTCCTTCCTCATTTTCTGACATATCCTGTGGTTTCCCCAGGAGTTATAGCAATGTAAGGGGGTAAAGGGGATCAGACACCAATATCAGGCAACCAAATGAAACGCAATCTTGAATAAGATTATGGATTCCTCTGGGTTGGAAATATTTGGGATCTACAACTCAATAAAATATACAACATAGATAGTCGTATTAAGACATTTTAATGTGGAAATGATATTTTTATTTTCATCTGCCAGAACTCCTTTTGACTGCTCTTTTTTAATGTTTTTAATGTGTTTTTTTTTATGTTTAACCATGCAGAGTTGGCTCGTTCTGCTGTTTCACTGTCACTGGTTGAGAACAGAGAATGTTGTTGGGGATTGTAGTGCAGTGCGTTGAGGTCAATATTGATAATGGGCCAGTAGCCTATACGCAAGAAAATAAATAAGTGTGTCACCCAAAATTATGCCTACAGTCCCTTTTAGTCAGTCAGTCCCACAACGATATGGGTGTCACAGTGGAACGATGGCACCAGTCAGTCACCAGTCTGTGTTTTCAGCTAGCTTGCCATGTGGACACACTAGCTAGCCTATTAAATGGCCATCCTCTCTTTAAGCCCCTGTGATCAGAGTGTGTCAGTCAACCAGCAATCCCCCTCCCCAGGCAGCCTCTCAGGCTACTTACACAACTTCAGTAGGGATGAGAAGTGACAGACCACCAGGAAAGAGAGGACCTAATTGGGAGAATTGGTAGAACGGACGGATTGTTTGTGCTCAGTGAACAGATCAAAATGTTAATTTCGTCCTTGTCCAAATCTTCTGGGGTTGTTAAAGAAGGGGAATAAAATAGAATTTGTTTGCACTGCCCTGATTGTGTCTGGAAATTACTGATAAGTTGACAGAATAACACAATCCAGTCTGAAAGCATCGGGGACCTCAACTACGAGATTTGTGTCCTTGGAAGCACCCTGATCAAATACGAAATGTAATGAGTTGGAAACATCCATTACTTTGTGACTCTCATAACTTTAGAGTAAATGGCTGGTTGTCAACTTCTCCTCCTTGATTGCCTCAGTATGCATGGCACCTGTTCAGCCTACAACTGTATTATGCTCTCTTTTACTTCCATTATGTTGGTGAAATAGAGAACTGGGGGCAATTTAACACTCAACACTTCTGTTGTTTTCCCTCCTTCCCAATTAGTTGAGACACAGTAGACCCCCGCAGTTGTAAATTTGTACAAATAATGACAATTCATCATCTGGTCTCAGTGCTTATGGCAACATAAACAAATACTGGGTAATTTCAGGACAGCTCTCCCATATAAAAGTAAGAAAGAAGTAATAAATCAAGAAGCAAACTCCGGTCTCAAGCTAAATTACCCAAAGAGAAGTGATTTTCCATCTAAGCATAAATGCAACCTCACATCAAAGGTTAATACGAATCATTTCCACAGTCTCATAGCCACTGCGTTAGCAGCCAACTTTAATTCCTATAAACACAGAGTCCTGAATATGACCGTGACCCTTAATTTGAACTATCTTATCCCATAAATGCACAACTACAACTGTTTATCCACTTTCCACTTTTCACTTAGATAGATGTCACAGAGACAAGGGCCAGAAAGACAAAGTCATCAAGAGGTGGAGGTGAGTGTGATCAGTATCCCTGCTGGCATCTATTTCCTGCCTGGCTGGCCTGTCTGCCGTGTCACCAGCCATCACTTCAGCCCAGGCTCTTTCCATGCCAATTGGCACGACTCGCCGTTGCTCTCACACTCCCTGCCACATCCAGAGAGGCAGAGACGGGACATATTAGGCCGGCATCACACATCACACATCACACGCTTCACATCATCACACACACACACACACACACACACACACACACACACACACACACACACACACACACATCACAGATTTACGTGTTCCAATTTACACATGAAAAGGGATGAATGCACAGAGATGCAGAAAGAGACAGACAGGCATGCATATTCACACACACACACACACACACACACACACACACACACACACACACACACACACACACACACACACACACACACACACACATGCACACTGTTCTCAATCTGCAGATGAATGTGTGTGAGTTGTATATTAAAAGGTTAGTGTCTTGGGGACACTGACCTTTAGAAAAATCCTTTTGTTTACCAACATCTCTGGATGGAGAGCAGCTAAATATCAAGATATAACAGAGGAGGGGATAAATAGAGTATGGCATATCAAATACACTATAAAATATGTAAACTCTCATTCTATATTCTGACTCCAACACGTTCCTTGTCCTTTTTCAGCCCCTCAAGGTTGAAGCATCATATGCCTAAATCTGCTGGAGCCTGCACTAATCCTTCTTGAAGCCTGCAGGCTCTCCATGTCCTTCTCATTGGCTTCATTAAAAGGATCCCTGTCCTTTCTAATTCCCTTTCACTGCCTGCCGCTTGCTCATCAACCAGGCCAATTACAACCAGTTATCTAGAGTCAACTAGTATCTGAGAGGGGTCACACATGCACTGCGCCTTCCTCGTCCTTCCGAAAGGAAAGTGAGAACAGTTATCCCTGCGTAAGAGGCAATGCCACTCATGTAGGTCAAACATAGGGGCAGCAACAGGAGCGCTCATTGTGTAACTATATACAGTGCATTGAGCATCCATGGAGATTCGTTTCTCAAACTTTTTACATGATTGGGGGGTTAGAGTTTCAGGCGGCAATCTAATAATTCCCTTGAGGTCCCTTGAGAAAGAAGTCTGACTAGCGGTGCGAGTCAGCGAGGGAGCAATGGGAGCGGTGTGCAAATTGAAAGTAATCCTCAGGCTCGGCCAGCGGTGCTGCTAGATTCACATCTATTCATAATTCATCACTCGACAGCAGTGAGGTGGAGAAAGTTCTGTCCATGTAATAAACCAGGAAGAGACATCTTTGAAAGGCACTGATGGAATCGGGCAGATCAGCCTCTGTACTGCTGAAGGTCCCAGGTGAGAACAGTACTTGTTATAAGCAGGAAGACAGATGGAGAAGATAGCTGGGAGTCTGCGTATTTCACATCATATTAGATCCTACAGCTGTCCATCCACAATGCTCAAGAGGAGATTAGCTGACTGAGCCACTGTCAGTCTTACATGAACTGTCAAAAGCCTAATTAGACATCGTCCAAGCATCGCTAGCAAAGACTTTTATAAATGACACACTGGTTTTCCTCCAACTGGAGCCATTTAAGCGTTAACCAGCTTGACCACGAGGGAGTAAAACTGCCCGGAACCTCTAGCGAGTTAATTCACCAAACCAAATAGACACAGCGATAACAACTCAAGCTTGAACCTGCAAGAAATTATTTTTTTGGCCACTTGGGCTCAGTGGAAACAACATTTACATATTATCATTTTTTTATGTTGATATGGGACAACAAACTGTTGCCTATTATTTACACATGTAGAAGACACAGAGCAACATAAACATTCATTTGGAGCCGTGTTTTAGGCCACCTGTTGAATGTAAGTCCAATATTTAATCTTAATCTTGTGTTCGGTCTCTACCTACTCTTGAGTAAAATGTCTGGCACTTTAGCTAGCTAGTTGCTAACTTTGTCTGTCTGCTGTGTGGTGCTGGGCAGGTAGTGTACAGTGAGATTTTAGCAATTTGTCTGGAAACACTGAGCAGTAAGAATACACCTAAACAATACAGTTGTGCACCTGAAAATCAAAACAAAAAATGTCTGTCAAACTTAGGAGAACTGCTTTCATCTTTAAACCCAACAGAACAAAATGAGTTTATCTCAACAACATCATAGAAATGTCACTTTGGTTGAAGCTGCATCGGTGACAAATTCAAAGAAACAAGTCAATTCGATCATCATATTTCAAATCAGATTTGAAGCACAAAGACAACTAAAGCTGAAAATGTTAGTCACCCATGGGACACAGGATGCTTTTAGCAGGTTGATACTGACAGCTTTGGAGGACAGCTCAGCTTGTCGTTCAAGACAATTGATGATGACAGACAGGATGACAGACAGACAGCTAACAGACCACACTCACTCAGCTCAATTCGACTGAAACAGACAACATTAGAAGAAGTGACTCCTGAAAGTCAGCACAAGTTCACAAAAGACGACAAAACTTGTGTGGACACATTTAAGGGGAGCCTGCAGAGGCTTTTCACCTTCAAAGCACATGTTCACAAGTACACAAGTTCACTGAAATGTCCATGCTGGAACATGCACAGCTTGTCTAGTGACAACACATACTGTACACTGTGGAGGTGACTTTGGTTGTCAGGGGTGTTGGCTGGCCCTGCAACAGTGTGGCTGCCCATAGTTATGACACCAGAGTGACCTGAAGGTGAGGAGAAAACAGTAAAAGTGAAAAAGGTGGAAGCGGAGGATGTATAAAGGATGGAGCCCAAGGCGGATGAGATGAGGCAGTGCCTCTGGGAAGTTGCGATCACAGCAATCAAATTCCACCAATCCCCATCGTTATGTGCAACCTTACAAATCTGACCAGTCATTGTAGTTTCCTGCACAAAACAGTAAGCCATACATCACCAATCTCACTTGAGTATCAATCTTCTCAACTAACTCTGCAAAAATGTCCAAAAATGTTCAAATTCAAGTCAGATAAGAGAGAGGTGTGAACCTTTTTTTCAGACTGTTCTGAAATAGGTGCAAAAGTAAAATAGAAAGTCAGTCAGGGGTTTGAGAGGGTCACTGTGGCTACAGTTCTGGTAGACGGAAAAAGTGAAGACATAAATACAGTATGTTACCTCCTGAGTACTTGTTTGAGCTCACTTCAACATTTGCCTCGTCAGCTCCTTGCGGTTATGCTAATTGCATTTTGTGTCATTTAGGCTGAAGTAGCGTGTTAAGGCATTAAAGCTCATCGTGAGCATACGTTTGAAACATGAAGCTGGCTTTTTCTGTCCCTCTCTGCTGTAACATGATGCTGGCTGGCATTTCTGACCTCTCCTTAGCCCCTCTCATCTTCATCCGTCTTCACTGCATGGGCTAATCATTTCTCACTGAAAGGCGAGGAACCATAGTGCTGTGCTGTTATTGCGTATCATGTCATCTCATTTAGTTAGTCTCATTAAATCCCTTCTACATCTGAGAAGGTTGGAAAGGGCCGTCACCATCCATCTCTCAGCTGCTCAAAACTAACATCTGTTTTCAAATAAGTGTTCCCAATCTCGGTTTCAGTTTCCATCTAATTTCAAAGGTTCATCTGAATATCCTCATTTGAATGGCAAAAAAGAGGTTGTCTTGAATATTTCAGGTCATTGTGTTTGGAGAGCACTAGCTTAAATGTTAATTTTGCTCCTTCAAAGACAACTTACACCTGCCAACAAAGCATACCATATGAAGACTAGGGCTGCACAATTAATCGATATATTATCAAAACTGCAATATGGCCAAGTGCAATAAGCAAATTGCAAAATCTGCGATGATAAAGGTAAAATGTGTGATTAAACAGCATTATAATGAAGTACTGTAGTGCTGCAGAGATACCCTGGCCTATAAATCTTGTTCCCCAGATGTAAGAAAACATGTTTGTTTGCTACAGACCCTGATAAATCTCACATCATCAGGATTTTGAGTTTATGTTTTTTTAGTTGAAATGAAAATTGTGATGCATAAATGATCATTCCTACTAAACGTGAATCCCATTACAATGAGCAATAACTGTCAAAATAATTGCAATATGATTTTTTTACCATACCGTGCAGCCCTAATGAAGACATCTCTCTCCTGTCTTTCTTCCAAATCAAAGTTCTAAAAATAAAACGCAAACTGCCAACCTGTTTTTATTTGGTTCCTCACAGCTTTGTTCTAAATCTTTCCCAAAATGCAAACAGGCATTTAATTGGACTCATTTTTGAGTCACATATCTGACACGAAGCAATCTTGAACCAAAAAACAATTTCTGGTAAAAAAATAAGGCACATCTGTGATCAAAGTCTTTCGTTCTTCTGTGATTCTGCATCAAGGTGAAAATAGTAATATCCACAAGTGTGTCTGACCAATAACTGTCTGACACACATGCAGCCAGCACGATGGCTGGCCTGGGATTACAGCATAATGACATGCTGATGAAATGTACTGGGCCATGCAGCTCTGTCTATGTTATGGTCTGTTGTCCATACTTCAGCTGAGCCTGTTTGTATGGCCTACTTCACTGTCCCACCCTCTAATCCTGTGCCGTTGGGAACTGCCACACTGCCCGGTCCACTTCCCATCTCTCCTACACTCAGCTTTAATCTCGCTGCAGCCAAGACAGCAAGCTCCGAATTGGGGACGGCTGACTGTTGAAAAACAGCCTCGGCTAAAATGTGACCACATTTGTCAGAAATAAACCAGTGGGACAAACGGAAACACTGAAGTGAAATCTCTTAATTCTGTCCAGAACTTATAGCCTTCACATTTCTTAAAAGAGCAGTAAATAATCAAATCTTACAACGTATGTTCTTGCAAACCCACTGTATGTATCTGCATACCCATGTGCATGTTTTCTTTCCTGCCGCACTGAGCCTAATAATGTGAGAATAGTGAGTTGTCGGATTCTGGCGTAATTATCCAAGAGTGTTAATTACAGGAAGAATTCTGAGGCAATTATAGGATCTCAAGCAACAACGCTGGCACTGAATCTGCTCTCACGGCACACAGACACAGAAAGAGTCTCACGGCACATCACAGCAGCTAATTGTTGATGAATCTTCAAACATCAATATCATATTCAGTGCTATGCATTCACAGAAATGACTGCATAAAATCAGTGGAGCTAATCATTCTTGTGTTAAATCACAAATGTATTCGTTCTCCCCCTTTTTTCCCTTTTTGTGCCGCTTTAATAATGAGGGGATGTTTGTCTGAAAAGCAGCGCCTGTTTATAGCTATGAGCTGAAGTAGGAGAAGTGGTAGATCCTGTATCTGTGCCATGTCTTCTGAGAGATTAACTAATGCAACAATCAGCTCCTTGTTAAAAGAAGTCAAGTGTTTGAAGAGAGGAAGAGGTGGCAGAAATAAGGAGCTTGCATGAAGGTGCTGACCAAAACAAAACAAAACAAAACAAAACGAAGTCAACTAAAAAAAAGGGAAGATATGAAAAAAGAGAACGGGCATGCCTTCAAAGACTTATTAGATGCAAAAAAACAGGGGTTATGCAAAGATAAATTTAGAAATAGAGGCAAAAGATGTACAGAGAGATGATTTTTATTGCAGAATGACAGATGAAAACAGAAAGCATAGATGTGAGATGGCTTAGGGAAGGTGATGAGGGATTATACATTTTGACAGAGCCATGGAAGGAAGGGAGCCTTGGAAATGGATTTGTCGAAAGTGAGGCACTTCAGAGGAACATAGACTGTAAACGTGTGTGTGTGTGTGTGTGTGTGTGTGTGTGTGTGTGTGTGTGTGTGTGTGTGTGTGTGTGTGTGTGTTTCCTCGGATGGGTGGTTGACAGCGGCACTCTCTTATCTTTCTGGCGTAAATCTCAACTCAAGAGAGATCCCATCAACGAGTCCGGTGCTGCTGCTGTCCGTGCTACAACTCTGACTAATAGGAGCCCCTAATTGGGTACACTGCATGCTGACAGTAAAAAAAATCCCAAATACGCACTTATAAATTCTGTTAAATGCAAAAATTGACACACATCTACACCCTCAGCTAAGGCTCTGCAGGGAGTTAAAAGTGAACACCGGCAAATGACACAGGTTGTCAACTCCTGTGACGAAAGCTTAGTGAAAGAAAACAGAAGGAAGGTGGAGGAAGGAGGAGCAAGAACAGATTGAGGATGAAGAGAGGGAGGAGATGGTGACTCAGCTGCTCTCCCGAAAGGCCTCCAGGAGGAAGAGAAGGAAGAGAGGGATGAAGAGGCACCAAAGAGGAGGGGTGCTCATGCTCCCTCTGCTCTTCACAGAGTCATCTCAATTTTTCAGTCTCTCAAATAAAAAGAGAAACAAAGACAAGAGCTTCAAATAACTCTTCAGAGGGAGTGCAACAACAAATGTCCACTAGGCCAGAGTAAGGGGATGAGCAATCAGTGGCCTTAAAGGGGAGCACCGTGCCATGCCATCTCACCAACCAAGTCTGAGGCGGATTACGACATCATGGCCTGTTATCTGGCATGCGAAGGGGCCTCTTTAACGTCTCTAGGTACAGCTATGGGCACCGAGTAATTGGGCCCTGCCTGCGCATTAAACATAAATCTGTTCTGACATCACACAGGAACTCAGCAGTGGATGTACTGGGATGAAACAGCATGCTGGATAGAGTTAGAAACACACATTGCACCACACCAAAAAAACGGGGGGGGGGCCTCGTCCATGCAAACAGACACAACCGCAGCTACATCCTGACTTACAAATTATTCACAGGCTCTTTTGAAACTGTTTACTCTGACACGCCAACGCTGCCTTCCCCACACCGAGACAGGCGAGAGATCCATTGAAAGCAGTTCTGAAGAGACGTTTCAACGTAAGGCAAAAGCGAGAGACAGTGGGAGGGTAAGGAGAGAATTCTTTGAAAGAAAGCTATGGGTGTACACTATATGGGACAGAGGGAAAGGAAAGCAGGCAGGGTTGTCTTTGAAAGAGATGAGGTGGGTTCTGACAGCGTGCTGTCAAACAGGCCGTCTGTCACTGCAGGCGGGCTGATCCCTGATTCTGTGATCAATGTTTTTCTAAGAAAAAAATCTAAAAAGATGAATAATTCATCCCTAACCAATGACAGGCTTATGAAGACGGGTGGAGCATTAGCCTCATGCAGGGCTGTCTCACTGCGTGTCTACTGGCTCCCATGATAAATTCATAACGTTCCCCTGATGTCCAGAAGCGGCTTGTCCTCTTCACCTCAAAGTGTGGCAAACACCACAGATCAGGAAGTACACCTGTCAAACTGAGGGCATGCGACAGGAGGGTATTAAATAGACACAGACGTGTTTCTGTTCATGTGCACAGCGCAGAGATATACATAGACACATAGATCCACAGATTGTGATCTATACTGACAAACATAACCCTATACTTCTCAGACGCAGCACACAGCCCGCCTCCACATATAAAAATGGACTGAGTACACAGAGTGCTCCAGCTATTTTACGAGGAGAGTATAGTCTCTATAATGCCCCAAACAACAGAATAGAAGCTCGCCACAGCTGTGAGTCAGTTCAAAGCAAAAATCCTCAGCAGACTACTTCTGATCAAACACTTCTGACAGGCAAACCGAATCTGTATGTACCCAAAGAGAGAGAAAGAGAGGAAGACAAGAGGAAGAAGACGAGGGAGGAAGAGGAACCACAGTCTGTTAAACACAATCTCATCACAGCCATCTGTCACGCTTACATATGGACACATACAGCTGCAGATTTATTAGTTCAAATGATGCAGAAACAAAGCGAGGGGGAGATTTTTCTTCCAGGCTTTGATATCCGTTTCAAACAGCGAGCTGGAAAAAGGCTTTTGCCTTTAAAATGCGTTGCCCCCTCACTGGGGCTGCATGAACAGACTGACTCTCACTTCTCACAAGCTACTTGCACAAACACATGCATGCACAATAAAAATGTCTATTGAAAATCAAAGCTCTGCCATTAGCTTCATATTATATCATTCAAACACTCAGCGCACTTTCAAACTGGACTGGTATTAATTAAAGTCATTACCAAAATCATCTTTCATTTTAATCAGCACGCAAAGCTGCCAAGTTCAATATTGTCACACATTCTACAAAGGGAAATATCCAGAGAGAACACACTTTTGTTTCTCATCAAACTAAAAGGTCACTTGAAAATAGCAACCCAGCTCAAATTAACATCTCCATAATGAAGTAATGTGTTACACTTTTTGTCAGGGGGCATATGGTCTTATCACCTTCCAGCTACACGCTCAAAAGCACTAATGAACACAGTAAGTACAACAGGACATGTCTGACCCCGCTATGACCTCCACATTATTAAGACGTATATTCAGGAGGAATAAAATGTAATCCCTCCAGTGATCCACATCTCAAATGATGATGGAGAGAATGGAGAATTTGTTTCTACGAAGAAAAACGTTTGTGTACAACATTACGCGTGGCTAAAATTGTGTGGAACGTACAGTAACACCCTGTACAACTGTGAATTGTTGTTTTTACACTTTGGTTTTCGTACTTAGTAAACAAACAAGATACGTGTTAATGAGTGAGCTTTAGAGCTGCTGCTTGGCAGATATTGTTACTTTTAGCCAGAGCCAGTCTAGCTGTTTACCCCTGTCTGCAGTCTTTGTGCTAAGCTATGCTAACCGGCAAGCGGCAACCTCTGTAAATGCAGCCAACACGGAAAGTAACAAAAGCTGCAGTTCATCGAACGGCCACTTGAGGCTGACTACAGGAGTGAGTCAGCCTCCATAAGGCCCCATATTAAAATGCCCAACCTTACAGCAGAAATAAATATTTACAGCCTGCTACAAAAATGTTTCTCTATAGCTAAATACCCTGTTTATGATAACTGTAAGAGGGGTGTGTTTAATAGTGTTTAAATTATAATAAGGCTTAAAGTTATGCATTATTACCGGCATGGCTGCTTTTTGACTGACAGGTGGGTGCAGTCACCGGCAGCTGTTTTCAGAAACCAGGCTTCATTCAGCTCTCCTCACACTCGGTATATTTGCCCATTTTTGGCTTACCCGGGAGCTGGTGGAGTCAAGACTTCCAATATGGAGACTCATCAGAAACCTATGGGTGACATTACAGAGACTAGGTCCATATTTCATTACACAGTCTATGCTCACCACTTCATGGTCTTAATATTTACCATACAGACATAAGAGTGGTATTGATCTTCTCATCTAACTCTCTGCTAGCTAATGAATAAATGTGTTTCCCGTAATGGTGAAGATGGTGGAAATGGCTTTGAATAGTGAGGATCACTAACTTACAATTACACATGGACAGGGTCAAAATCCCAGCTTCTGCCCTCCCGTTTAATGCCTCTCTTCTTCCATGAAGCAAACAAGCAACGAAGCACACATGCAAGCTTTCAAAAGTATAAAAAACCAAAAAGCAAAACATAAAGCAAGAAACAGAATATAAATCAAGGAAAGACAAACGGAGAGAACAGCCTCACTGAGCAGTTCACTCTCATCCCTCAGTTCTACTGATCTCCACTTCAGGAAAATGATTTGATCAACTGATTATCTGCTTTATGTTCAACGGCTGAAAAGGAGATAAAAGTCGGCTTTAGTTCTGACAGTGTGATCCATGGAGCAGAGATAGAGGAGCGTTGGGGGTCATGGACTGATATGAAGATGCAAAGAGGCGTGGATCTTTAATCTTCATTTATAACCAATGGCTCACTGGGATATTTAAAATAGGTTCACAAGGTTCAAAGACCAATTTCGTAATGAGAGTGGAGGAAGAGTGCAGGAAGCACACAATACTCCAGAGAGCTCCATAAACAAAAACACACAATTCATGTGCAGGAGTATTTATTTTTGCAAAACTAATCACATTAATCTCAATCTAAATGCATCATCATCACCCCGCCAACGGCCGACTGAATGCTTCAGAGCTCGGCTGAGTTGAACACGCTGTTAACTGTTTTGGACGACAGGACCCATTTGAAGAATGATTAATTAATCCAGTGCTTAATACCCTTGCGCAAAGTTAAGTGCATCTGACCACAACCACACATAGAGTTCTCATTAGAGTCAGAGTCATTAGTAGGTTCATGTCTGAGGGGACATTATGATAAAAAAAAAATGCTACTTTTGATCGTCAAGCACTTACAAATCAATTAGGAGTTGCTGGTGATGTGTGTGTGCATATGTGTGTGTGTGTGTGTGTGTGTAGCTACAGGCATCTGACCTTAATTAAGGTATTTCAATCCAATCACAGGATGTTTTTTTTTTCATCTAAATGCCACAAAGGTGTTTGACGTTTCAATGGAAAACGGTGAAAGTGTGTGTTGTAGGTTCACACTGCACCTTTTAATTTAATCATTTTCACAATTCCATAATTGAAGAGAGCTGATTAAAGAGCTATCTCATGTGCAGGGCCCATGGAGAGATGGTATGATAGATGTGTGTAACTTGAGTCAACCCACAGGACACAGCTGGTTCTTTACAGCAGTTCAAGATACAGTAAGCCGTGTCTGCCTGGCTCAGCTGCTACAAATGTGCTTGATAACAGAGCTGGAAGGACTAATACGCTTTCAAGCATGAAGTACTAATAATCTCAGGATCTATCTTGGTTTATACAAAGTGGAAAAGGTATTGAAAGTTCCTCTAAATTGACGCTTTTATGAGTGATGTTCCATTGAAGCATTTAGTGTTTCTCACCTCAGAAAATATCAGGTTTTCCAAGTACCATTATGACATTATCATGACTGCGTAGCACGTTATGAAATAAAATATTACAGGAAATCCTAAACTTATTCTAAATATTGCTCATGGTTTTAGTACCAAAGGGAACTCACATACCACCATTTTTATTACATGTACCATAGTTTGAAAACCAGTGATTTAGAGAAACACTTGGGAAAATAATTCTAATTATGGATTATATTTTTGGCAGAATGTAAATGCAATTAATGGTGTGAGAGTGAAATAGATAAAAGGAAGGTTTTAAAACAAACTGTGCTCAGAAAACAGTTTGGGGAAGGAGACAAGCAGCTCCTAAACAACGAGGTGCCCTTCAGCGCTTCGGTCTTTATGCTATTTAAAGTTGTAAAGAGAGATAAGGTTATATCTAATTTAATCACACCGTATGGATTTCGCTGATGCAGCTGCAAAGCTTTAACTGAGGACAATGATTTTATGGCTCCAGTGTTGTTGTGGTACAGGTTTATGTAGTGCAGTTAGAGAACATAACGCTGGATGCGGCAGGGATCACCAAAGCTGCATGTAACAGATATACTGCAGTACAAATGCCCTTTACTCTGGTTATCTGCCTCCTCTAGCAGTTCATTAGATGATCACTGCTAGCGATGCCACTGTCTGTATCTTAGGCTTAGAGTGCATAGTAGTGACATGGCAGGAAATTTCCCTGTAGGTTTACTGAGGTTATTGAGTCGGTTGAGTCACGAACACAGCTTATTAGAATACAGTATGATGTTTTTGCGGACTGTCAGTATTCAGAAAAGGCATTTGTAACACATAACTTCTGGCTGAAATTATTAATTAGCAGGATCATTTATTCTTTTTATTAATTCAGTATTTTGTCTATAAATGACCATAGATAGTGACATATTCCCCAAACATGTATTTAGAGTGATGAATCTGTCGAGCAGTCAACACAAACACAAAGTATTCATTTTATGAAATGCATATGAAGAGCAGTAAGCAAATGTCAGTATTTTCTATAACTGTTATTGTAACCTAGTTACTATACAGGAGCCTTGAACTCCATTTTCTCCAGCAGTCTCAGTCATGATGGTCGATCCATGCTGGAGAATATTGTTTTATGGCTGGCCAGTCGCAGCACTTCAAGCTGCCAGCAGCAATAGTAATACATAAAATGAAATGAGCCGGAGAGAATGACAAGTATATAAACTCCTAAAATACCCCACACTTCATCCCATAACACGACTCAGGGTGGAATACACTTTGCTCTCTGTTACACTCAAAGACACACGACTTCAAATATCAGCTCACTCCCACCAAGATTTTAATTGTTGATCTTTGAGCTGATTTAAGCTTAAAGGACCAGTTTGTAAGATTCAGTGGCCTCTAGCGGGGAATTTGAATTTGAATACAGCTCACCCTTTCAAGCGTGTAGGAGAAACTATGGTGGCCGCAAAACTCCCTACCTTGAGTCAGTGTTTGGTTTGTCTGTTCTAGGCTACTGTAGAGAAAATGGCGGTTCACCATGGCGGCCTCCGTACAAGAGGACCCGCTCCCTCTGTAGATAAAAACGGCTCATTCTAAGGTAAGACTGAGGTGATTATACACCAATAACAAATGTTATATTCCATTTCTATCCATAAATGTTACACACCTTCAACATCAACACAAACAGGACTGTGTCTGTTGATTCACATTGTTAAAGAGCATTGCGTGGACAAAAGCAAAAGATGTAGTGAAGCCTCTGAACTGTGTGTAAGCACTGTCTACCTACGCTTGTGAGATTCCTTGGCTTCCCTTTTAGTACTTATGTAATGCTTAGGCCATCTCATCACACATTCTTTCATCCAGAGACCTCAGAAAACATAAAATATGTAACATCCAAAGAGCAAATACTGTTTTTCTCACCCCTCTGCTTCCTCTCTGTATCTCATATGTGCTGTAGCTCCAGCCCTCCTGAGCCGGTCCAGTAAAGTTGCACAGGACCTATCTACAAAACATCGAGAAAGAGTGAAATGGGAGAAAAGCATTTAGTAATGTGAGAGATAGATTAGAGAAGTGTAAGACAGCCATCCTGGGGCTTGTGCTGGATGCTACTGAAGTACTACAGCAGTGTGTGTACTCTACCATTTATAAATATGTTCTGCAACTATAAATATATGAAAGCTAATATAGCTTTAAATTACGCACAAATGCATTCTCTGAGTGGGCACTGGCCTCAATTGCATCATCTTTTCTTTTTTATATATATATTTTTTGGGGGCTTTTTTGCCTTAATTGGACAGGACAGCTGAAGATAGACAGAAAACGGGGGAGAGAGGGGATGACATGCAGCATAGGGACAGAGGACAGACTCGAACCCATGACTGCTGCAGCAAAGGACTCAGCCTTGGTAAATGGGGCGCCAGCTAGAGCACCCTGCATCATCTTCTAAAAGCAAAAACACATTCAAGTTAAGATAAATTGACTTCTCAACATTACTTGCTGTATTGTACCGGGTTGACATATTGCTTTGGCTTTGATCCTGTTGGTTTCAAAAAACATAAGAAAAGCTTTGTAGTTACTCTGGCTCCATTAGAGTCATCTAAATAAATGGAACAACAATGACAAACTGCAGTATGCGGAGTTTCATAACTGCACTGCCATACTAATTTGTCTCAAGCCTCAGCCTATTTTCCACAGATCAACAGCATGATTTTGAATAAAACCTCTTATATTAGGCCCCTAATTTTACTAAGTAATACTAAACAGATTGAGGCCCATTTAAATGTCATGCTGCTGATCGTTCTCAGTAATTGCAAATGATGGATACACCACAGGTGTGCCAGGTGATAAGACTATGAAGTAGTCCAACTAATTTGATTATATCACATTATGATGGGATTAAAAAACTATATATCCACATTTGAGTCAGTTATAGCACCTGAACACCACATTGCATCAATTCTGCAATTCAGAGTGCATGAAAACTAGTTATCAAGTGAGTAGAGAAAGAGTAAGCAATGTCCAAATAGCTCAAACTAATGGATACATGGTTGATAGTTAGCTTAAAGTAAAGGACAAATGGCACTAATGATACTTAGCGTAAAGTAGACTAATGGATAAATGGTGTGTAATTAAGAATCCCACTGCTTTTCTTGCCAAGACATGACCTGCTTAGCATTCTTAAAGTAGACTAATAGATAAATGGTTGACAGTTAGCTAATAATGGATAAAAGTGGCAGTAATGTGCTAAATGTGCTGCATTGAGTGTATATTCTTGTTGTTATGTCATCGTGTCCCTATGTATGTATGTCTCAAAGCTATGTACAGACTGCGGTTACAAATTTCCTGTGAAGGACAATAAAGTATCTATCTATCTATCTATCTATCTATCTATCTATCTATAAAAATCCACTTTAAAACAATGCAAGTGAACCCATTTGAGCCGATGAAGATGTTCTTGAGTTCATCTGACAGGCTTGTGTCACTTTGTCTGACAAAACAGGCGGAAAACCACTGCCACAAGGTAAAGAGGTCAGCCAGCGTATCGTCACCACAAATGTCAAATGAAGCAATCATGTTTGTAAACAAAGGACTTGTAAGGCCCAGATGCTCTCTGAGCTCTGCATTAAGGTTACAGCCCCATCTAAACGTCTATAATGGCATTACAGCAGTCAGTGAGTGGGAGGACGGCCAGCGCACACAGGCCCATGATCGTTCCAGCTGGACATCCTAACCACGACAGCTGACATGCCAGCGTGCCTGCAGGTATCTGACAGCCACTCACAGGGGCACTCTCTCCATTTCCTCCTGCACTCCTTCACCACTTAATACCTTATTTTCCTCCCCCCTTTGCTCCGCACTGTCCTCTCCGTAAGAGCGGCAGTGCCCTCATCTTGCTGACAACGGATGCATCTTTGCTTTACTGCCCTCATAAATACTCCAGAGTTGAAAACAATGAGGCCGGGCATTGGCAGTGTTAAGCTGAGGTAATGTCACTATTGAGCATGGCTGACAGCTTTATGTGCAACAGAAAGGATCAAAATGAGAAGGCTAGTGTAGGCGTAGTAATGGACAAGACTAACAGGCCTGATTCAACAATGCACTCCGAGGGCCACATAGACCTGTCAGCAGACATTTCATTACTGACACATAAATCTGCCAAATAGGGAGGCTAAGTGGCACTTCGGGTACCATTAAGTGCTGTTGTATAATTGCATTCACTGCAATGCTGGTTTTTGCTCTTGATTTTTATGACAGTAACAGCTACTGTGGCTCTCAATAAACAGATAGGAATCCATGAGACCACAATCAGACGTGGTGTAAAACAAGAAATACACAATTCCATGCTTAATATAAATCTGATGATGATGGCTTTATTATGTGCTTTTCATTATTTAATTATCTCATACACCAATGACTGGCCTTCAGTTGCTCAATAGCACTTAACCAGGGCCAAGGATCAAACTAACAACCTCCACCTCCTGAGCAACTTCTCCCAAAAAACTAGATCTAAATCCACTCCCCACGAGGTACACACACCCACCCCTATTCTACCTCACTACCGAACCCTTCCACGGGATAAAAGTCTGACGTGTTTAATTTCATGGTCAGCAAACCGTGTGAAGCCTATGCACACAGGAAGAGGGCAACACAGTGAAATGTTGGGGTTTTAATTACAGAAATGTAGCGGCAGTGAAAAATTAAAAGATGCATAAATCACTATGTGAATTTCTGCATTGCTGTGACTGGTTTAAAACTGACCAACGGGGGGGGGGGAGCAGTAACAATAATAAAAATCTCTAAAAGGGCCAGTGCCCCATGACCGAATACATTAAAAGTACTGCCTCCGACTCATGAGATGAATTGTAATGTCCCCAGTGTGAGTCCTGCCAGAGACCTTTGTTGCATGTCACTACCCATTACTCTCTCCCCTCATTTCCTGTCATCTCTCTGCGGCTAACTTTGTATGAAAGGCACGAAACACCCCAAACAATACCTAAAAGAAAAGACGATTACGGTTGTGACCATCGTCAAATGTACATGACAGCTATGCAACCTCTGTTATAATTTGCAGTTAGTTACATGCTTTTGTGATGTATGTAATGTGTGCAAGAATGTCCTGGACAGTGGTTGACCACAGTCCCTCACAGACGAGGAAAGAGATTAAAGCTTCTGCTTTTCCAGACCGTACTTCCAAAAAAAAAACTAGCTTATTTCTAGAACTGCACTAAGAGCTGAACAGAGCCACAATACAGGCAGGAGCAGAGCTGGGAGAGGGCTGAGCAAACACAGGCAGAGGCTTAGATGTGTCACACCGACGACAGGCACCGAGCCTCTCACGCTGGGATGACTGCAGGGATCGATCAAAGGCTGCCTTCCCCTTTCTACCCCACATTTAGATCATTAAAACCTAATTGAGAACTGGTAACCAAAGACACACACACACACACGCACACACACACACAGACACACAGAGTGGCTGTGCTTGCGTGGATACACAAGCACACCATCTCAGGGATGACAATAGAAAAAAGCACAGCTAGTGTGAGAGATAATGAGACCCGATGTCCATCTGAGTTAGAGAGCAAATCGATCAGCCGGGACTGCACCATAACAGTGTGAGATGAGGATGAGGGGATAAACTAGTGTCATGATGATCACAGGGCGAATCTCTCGCTCATCAGGTCATCTGTTTAGGTGAACCTTGACAAAAAGCAACTGGATGAAAGGCAGCAAGAGAAAGGAACACAACAGATAAACCCCATGTGAGACCACTCTCTCTGTGGATCACAACGAGGTGTGTAAAAAGTGTCAGACAGCAGATCAATTGGACCACCAGATGAATGTGTGTGTATGTGTGATGGAAGTTGGCTCACCCAGGACTAGAACTTGCACAGCGCTCCTTCCACATCTGCAAGCCTGGAGGTGCTCTGATCCCTGCTGGCCGTCTGCTCTGGCTGGGTCTGTGCAGGATAATGTTGCTCCTCAAGCCTCTCCAGACACTGAGCTTCCTCCTCCTCCTCCTCTTCCTCTTCCTCCTCCTCCAGCAGCAGCAGCAGCAGCAGCAGCAGAAGCGGCAGCAGCAGCAGCTGGACTGGACTGCATTCACTCACCTTCCCTCTTCACTGTGTCTTTGCTTCCACAGCACTCTGCTGCTGAATTATCTACCGCCTCCCAAATAAAGTCCCAGGCTCTCCACTCTCTTCTCCTTTGTGCTATAAAGGCAGCAGCAGCTCCTCTCCCAGCGGGCTACCAGCTTTGTATCTCGGAGAAGCGGTGAGGGCTGCCACCGGCGGCGGCAGGCAGCTCGGACGGATGGTGCTCTCGTTATTGGATTGCATGTGTATGAGTGTCCTGGCATTTGTGTGTGTGGGATGTGGAGCGTAGTGTGTGTTTGAAAGAGGACCCGGCTGCTGTTCATTGGGGCTCATCTGCGCTGTTGCCTATCTCTCTCTCTCTCTCTCTCTCTCTCTCTCTCTCTCTCTCTCGTATTCGGGCTATTTTGTGTTGCATTCACGTCCTGTGGGGGGAAAACGGAAGATGAGCTCTCTACTTAAAAATTCAGCTCACTTTAGCTTTCAGGTGGTGGGTATACTCACAATACTCTGCAGGGACAGACTGTATGGAAGCCCGTGTGTGGACAAAATGTATTAAATAAGACAGTCGAAATTTATGCAAATGCATACAGATATGGGACGTAAAACCAAAACAATGAGCTGAAAGACGCTAAAGAATACAAGCAGCACCTTTCACATTGCATTATTATCTTTTTATTGTATTGTGTTATTTTTTATTACAGTAATCTGATGTCTTTCTTTCATTTTGGTCCAAACTGAACTGCACTCAGTGCGGTGTTGCTGTTTTGATACACTACTGTGATTTGTGCTGTCTCAGGAGGCTAACATGAACATGTTTCCGCTGGTTGCATGCATAATAACTCCAGCAATACTTGCAAGTAGCACATGTGCAGTTAATAGACCCTTTTCTCTGCAGACATTTTAATATGTCACAGCAGAACACTTTGTCCTAATGTTGCTCTGGTATCTCTGTGCTCACTCACTCACTGACTTACTGGGACTTGTTAATGTTATTAATGACAAGTCAAAATGTCTGACGTGAAAAAGGGGCTATTATCTGTCATTTCAATTAAACAGACAAAACAAAGGATTTTCATCACTTTTTTTTAAAACATCCTCCAATGTTATTGTTAGATATTATCAGTGATTTACTGCAGTCCAGGTGAATAAGTGTTGAACCGACGCTCCCCTTTAATCTGTCTGATCCAGCTCAGTTTCCTATACACTATTATACATCTACAGTATATCATGAGTAGCAATTTGGGGTTCGGTGTCTTGCTCAAGGACACAAAAGAGGAGCTGGAGAACAAACCACCAACTTTACAGCCAGCCACCATCCCACTACTCCGACTGAGCAACAGCTGCTACAGTGATACTGGAGAGATGGCGGTGGCGAGCTGTGCCAGGTGGTTGAAACCATTACGAAGCGCTGACGGGTGGATTGTATTTCATTTCGCGGGGAGTGTAGAAAGAAGCCATTGCTATTTAAATCTCCATGAGGCTGGTGCTAAAAAATGTTTACCTTTGTTTTCCATCTCTAAAAATTACCAATGACATACAATGTTTTTAAATCTCGAATGTATATTTGAAATGTCAGTACAGGATGCAAACGTCCAAGTAGTTGTTTTTAACCTGTAAGCCATTTATGTTCTTTCCAAAGATATTTTGTGTGTCGTACGATACTAATGGAGAATTATTATGACAAGATACTGTTAGGTAATCCAGGCAAAGTAAACAAACAAATACGGTATATTGATGTTATTATCAACCACACAAAATACATCACAGCACACAGGAACAAGTCAACATTATCACATTACCATATTAAGTAGGTCTGAACTTGTAGAGATATATTTACAGATTTAAGCAGACTGGGCACTTCCCCCACTCCATTCATTCTTAACTAAAGTGTAAGGATTCCCATTTGTAATGGGCTCGGATGCCGACAAGGAGGGAAAGACTTGCACTTCCTTCAGGCATCCTTACACATCTTTTACATTTCACTGCCACTTTTTAACAGAGCATAAATCGGAGCCCGAGGCAGTGCAGGAGTGTCATATCCAGGTGAAAATGGAGGCAGTGCCATGTTTCATCCTATCTGCAGTCTGCGTTTACTGTCCTCAAAAGCCACAATGGAGCTTTCCCGTGCTGCAGTCTCTGTGCACGTGTGGTCCCAAACAGTGTCACTCTCTTAAATGGAGAAAATACATGGGTGAATTTTTTTTTATCACACAATCTGAACACTATTGCTTTGTTTAAGGCCAAACTGCTGTGGTTCAACAGACTGTAGTACAGTGACCTTCATGAATGTCATTATCCCCTCAACCATTTCCTTGGCTGGCTTAACGTAAAAGCTCTGTAGCAGCTTTACAATAATACCAGAGCACCGAAATAATCAGCAGCACTCCCTCCATGCTTCAAACCTGAGGACACTCTGGGTTCCAGGGGCTTTTCGAGGTGAATATTTTCTAAGGCTGTCAGCAGAAGTATTGAGGGGGAGGGTGTTGATAGATATGTTATACATAAAACATGAAGGCAACGTACCTGCCTACTGTGCAGGTTGAAACGACTGTACGTCAACTCTTGGACTCTATAGTCATTTGTCAGATTGAAAGTACTGCTTACCCTTGCTTTCCCTGTGAGGTGTGAGGTACCCAAAAAAGAAAAAAAAAAACCACAGTCATGGTCTTGGGATTCAAACGCTGTGGTACTCAGGCAGTTTAGTATTTTATGTGAGTACAGTTTCATAGTTTGTGAGATTTACTTCCTATAGTCCACATCATTCCAGAAGAAAAGGTTGTGAAGAAACAAAAAAATTCTGCACACTATTGATCACTGGTAGTAGTCTTATTAATAACGTTTCATCCTCAGACCTTTATCGGGTGAAATTAATGAAGCAGCACTATATGAGGTCTCCCATTCTGGCTGATAAAGGTCAGTTGTCACCTTAACTGTAATTGCTAATACCTGGAAGGAAATATTGTTTAAAAAAAGAAGAGCAAGTAGGATTACTTTTGATACTCTGTATGTAACATTTCTAATGTGCACACAAGCTCTTACTGCTTTATCAGGAACTTCCACTAACTGATCAAAGATGCAACTTAATGGACAAGAGAGGAGCTCTAATTTGTATTGTATGTGCACATTATATAGGTTATATAGGTAACAAATATTTGTAACCTTACTGGACCTTCTGCTTTGGTTCTGATGTCTGCTGAGACAGATGAGACAAGATGGTATGAAGTGTCAACTTTGCAGAAAGACGCTGCTGTCTCAATAAAATGTTTATTTTTGACACCACAGCAGTTTGTAAAATATTGTTCTGTTACAAAATGAATCTTGCAGTGTTTGCAAGTGGGGCACCAGCACTTCAGGCAGCAACTACAGTAAATCATGATCACAAAGGCAGCTACAAAAGTGACTCATATTAAGTTGAATACCAATCAGCAGTACAGTATGTGTCAGCTCTAATAAACAACCAGCATTAGCCTGTCAAAGTGGGTCTCAAAAGAAGGAAAACTGCATTAGCGAGAAGGAACAGTGGAAACAGCAGGCCGTTATCAGCACTGAGTGAAAGACATTTAACAGGATATTTGCTTAAAAACATCACAGCCTCAAAAATTACCATCAAGCTGTATCAACATTTTATCGCGATCAACAGTCAGAAAACAAAGCTCCACTAAAGGTAATTACTACAGCATTATTGCTCTAAGCTTTAAACATCTACAACCACCGCTCACCTCGACTGAAGGCCATTAGCAAAGACTCACCAAACCCTACTGCCAAAAGACTCCCACTCCTACAGACAAAACAACAAGCTAATGGCCTTGGGCAACTTAAAGTGGTTCTGCCCATTAATTCTCACCCACTCACTCAAAACAAAACACATAACAAAGTGGAAATGTGCAGATTTCAGTGAATGGAGGACAAAGAGAAGCACGGCAGCGGGATGTGGCACACTTTTCATTTCTTGAAAACTAATTCTGCCAGAGAGCGAATGGATGAGTGGGTAAGGGTAAGTTAAAAAAAAACCCCTGCATGAATATATGAATGTCAATTTGTTGTAGAGTAATTGTGATTTTAGGGATTTTTGGCTTAAAAGGAAACATCGAGATATGTGAGTGTTTAGAAGAGAGGCTCCAAACCTTTTTGGCTTGTGACTTTTCAAAGTGAGGTAATGTCTTCTTACAATTCCTTCACATATGTCTGTGAGCTGCAAGCAAGCAAAGAGTGAGGTTCCCTTCTCAAATTGTTTGATTCGAGCGATTTTTACAAGTCTGAATTTCACCTGAATCTGCACTTAATAACAGACATTGTTTGAGCAAAATGCTAACTTCAGCATGCTAACATGCTGGTGATTAGCAGGTATAAAATTGACCTTGTTCATTTCTCCTTTTAGCATGCTAACACTTGCTAATCAACACTAAACAGTGCAGCTGAGGATGATGGGAATAGTTTTGGTATTTGGTCATCAGCCAAAGTAAGTCAGAGGATCACCAAAGTTCATCCTGAGGGGAACATGAATGTTTGTATCACATTTCATGCAATCCATCCAACGGTATTAAGATGTATGACTCAAAACCATAAATGTCAACCTCATGGTGGTAAATGTAAAGATGGCATCATCTGGGAACCATGAATGTCTTTACAGAATGTCATGACAATCTATTCATTAGTTGTTGAAATATTTCAGTCTGGACCAGAGTAGTGGACTGACTGACCAACGTAGCTGACACAGTAGCTAAAAATAATGATTAGAGGAAAGCCTGGGAAATAAAAATAAAATAATAATTTATGTAGCAGAAGTTATTTTCTATCTTTTTAATCATCTCACAAGCTCTCAAATTTATCATTTGACTCCTTCGAAGTCATGTTCTCACTCAGTGGGTAAAAACATGCAGTACAAATATACACTGGCTATCATGGATAGTACTTATACTACAGCACAATACAAGTTTATTTGCATAGCAAAATATTGCAAAGTGCTTTACTCACAACACACAATAACAATGAAGATGCAGGAATAAAACCACATTATATTATATTATAGTACATAAGATAGTAAATGGGTGTGCATAAGGCATCACATTGTTGTGAATCCATGTGTGTCATACCTGCTTTGCATGCACACCAGTGTGTGTTCAGGAGTGTGTCCTGCAGCCTTACAGTGAGTGCCGTGCTGAACCCATCTGGCCTTTGGGTGCTGTTGGACCAGCCAGACAGGCAGTCGAGCCCCCCCGATGCTGTGAGAAGAGCAACTGCACTTCTTACAGAAGCTCTGTGTGCATGCATGTATGATGTATGTGTGTGTTTGTGTGCGTGTGTGTGTGTATGTGTGTGCGTGAGTAGGCATGCAAGCTCCGTGTTAGATCTTCACTGCAGCCGTGCAAAAGACTGTGTGAGTAATCGTTGCTGCTCAGCTCGTCTCCCTGCTTTGGACTCAGAGGTGGCACATGTACTTCACCAACTGTGCAGACATATTTCTCAAGCAGCAAGTACATTCATCACACAACAAGCATGAAGTACACACAGACACACACAAGGAGGCACGAAAAGGCGTCTGTC